CACCACATCGGTGAGAATGTAACTGAAAACGAAATGCCTGTTAAGGAACTATTGTGTTACAGACCCCACCTTTTGGATTTTGGCAAGTATCACGAAATGTGCAACAGGAGCGCCAGACCAAATACGGCAAAAGTATTCTATATACGGACGAATGGTAGATTTGTAAATGTTTAAAAAGGATTCAAAGGAGAAAAAGTTTCTGGCATGAAACAGTGAACCAAATTTTGTTGCACTAGATGCAGCAATTGTTTTGATGTAGTTGCTCCACTTCAAGTCAAGGGAAAAATTGAGATCAATAAGATGCAGTGTGCTGTTCCCTGGATCTAGCCTTATCCATGCCGATGGCAGGGAGAAAAGGTTCTCTATGGTGGCTAAGTGAAAGTAGATTGTTTTGGAGGCGTTAAAATTTACAAACTATTTCTCGGCAAAGTTAATCACAGATTGAAGGTCAGTTTCAAGAGCTGCCAGGTTTAATTAATCAGATTAAACGATTTTGCTATTGAAACGGGTGTAAATGTTTGTATAATCTTCCTAAATACCTAGTTGAGAACTGGTGATATCTGGGAGCTCATTGATGACGATCGGAAATAGTGTAGGACGCCAGATAGGTCATTGGGGACACCCGCGTTCATGTGAAAGGTTCTGAAAGCGAGCCCGTTCAAAACGACCTTCATTTCACGATTTCATAGAAACAACTGGATTAAATCAAACATTGGTCCTGTGACACCGTTGCCTTGGAGCGTGCGTAGGAGGTCAGATTGCTTATTGAACCCTTTCAAGATAGCTAGGGCCAGATCTCGAGCTTCGCCGTTCTTGTCCAGAGCTTGATAGAGAAATTCAGTGATGGCTGTTACCAAATCGGCAGTACACCTGGCAAAATGGAAGACACATTGTTGGCCGAGAGGCTGTCGTGTGAAGTAAGATGCTTAACATTTCAACATACATTAGTCACTCGAATACTTTACGAAAAAGCAGTAATATACTAAGAACGCGATAATCTGAAGGGCCATAATGTTTTCTAGTATTCTTAAAAACAGGAACAAGAGCGGAAGATTTCCAACACCTGAGAAACTGGAAGAAGCAAGGCCGTTGATGAAGAGTTTAGAGAACTGCAGCGAGGTCGGGCGCACAATTTTTAGAACGATGGTTGGGATACTGTCACATTTGAAATTATGTCTGGTCAAGTTCATTCAGAAGAGCCTCTCTTCTTGGCAGGAGTGGTGATCAGTTATGGGTACACCAGGCGAGTCGAGTGGAGAGTTTGAGAAGTTCTGAAAAAAGCACTCAACCTTCTCTGCTGTAGATGTCAGAACTTCAAACTGCTGAGGAGAAATTGAGGATTTGCTGTAGTTCAGAACACTTTTGCAGAGCCGTCACTAATCTCTAGAACCGAACTTACGAGAAGTTGTTTCATTCTGTCAGTGAATTGTGACTTCGTTTCTTGGAGGAAACGCTTGTACTTATTGCAAGCAGAGACAAAAAGATGTCTTTTGCAATCAGACCATTTGCCCTGGATCTAAACTCAGAATAAAACACACACACACACACACACACACACACACACACACATATATATATATATATATATATATATATATATATAAGGCCAGTAAAGGAAAATATTTATAAAATAAATATACGGTTTAAGAAATAAATGGAGCATCTCAAATATTAATGTTTAGGGTGAAAAATGATTACTCCGATTGACAAATTAAAAAATACATTACCTGAGAAAATTATTTTCTTTCTCTGTCTTTATTTTTTCTTTCTTTATATATTTTCTCTCTCCCCCTCTCTTCTCAATGGCTCTCTCTCTCCTTCTATACTCGATGGCTCTCTCTCTATATATACTTTATGGCTCTCTCTCTCTATATATACTCGATGGCTCTCTCTACACATATATATATATACTCTATGGCTCTCTCTCTCTCTATATATATATATATATACTCGATGGCTCTCTCTATATATATTCTATGGATCTATCTCTCTCTATATATACACTCTATGGCCCTCTCTATATATATACTCTATGGCTCCCTCTCTATATATACTCGATGACTCTCTCTCGCTCTATGCTCGATGGCTCTCTCTCTCTCACTCTATGCTCGATGGCTCTCTCTCTCTCACTCTATGCTCGATGGCTCTCTCTCTCTCACTCTATGCACGATGGCTCTCTCTCTCACTCTATGCTCGATGGCTCTCTCTCTCTCTCGCTCTATGCTCAATAGTTCTCTCTCTCTATGCTCGATGGCTCTCTCTCTATACTCGATGGCTCTCTCTCTCTCTCCTTCTATACTCGATGGCTCTCTCTCTCTCTCCTTCTATACTCGATGGCTCTCTCTCTCCTTCTATACTCGATGGCTCTCTCTCTCCTATACTCGATGGCTCTTTCTCTCCTTCTATACTCGATGGCTCTCTCTCTCCTTCTATACTCGATGGCTCTCTCTCTCTCCTTCTATACTCGATGGCTCTCTCTCTCCCTTCTATACTCGATGGCTCTCTCTCTCTCCCTTATACTCTCTCTCTCTCTCTCTTTCTATACACGATCTTTCTTCTCTCTCCTTCTATTCTCGATCTCTCTCTCTCTCTCCTTCTATACTCTGATTTTCTCTCTCCTTCCATCTCGATCTTCTCTCTCTCTTCTTCTCTCTCTCTCTCCTCTCTCTCTCTTTCTCTATTCCTTCTATACTGATTCTCTCTCTCTCTTCTTCTTTGCTCTCTCTCTCTCTAAACTCTCTCTTATTCTTCTCTCTCTCTCTCTTCTATCTTCTTTCTTCTCTCTCTCTCTCTTTCTCCCTGATACTCTCTCTCTCTCTTCTATTCGATGGCTCTCTCTCTTCTTCTATCTTGATCTTTCTCTCTCTTCTTCTATCTTTCTTCATTCTCTCTCCTTCTTCTATTTTCTTTTCTTCTCTCTTCCTTTATTTCGATCTTTTTCTCTCTCTCTTTCTTTTTCTGATTTTCTCTCTCCTTCTATACTAATGATCTTTCTTCTCTTTTCTTCAATTCCCCCTCTATATCTTATTCTTTCTTCTTCATCTCTCTCTTCTTTATTCACGACTTTTCTCTCTTCTCTATATATACTTTATCTCTCTCTCTATATCTTCTGATTTTCTCTTTCTCTCTTATGCTTTTCTCTCTCTCTCTCTCTCTTTTCTCTATTCTCTCTCTCTCTTCTTTTAATGCTCGATCTTCTCTCTCTCTTAAATGCTCGATCTCTCTCTTTCTCACTCTATGCTTCTTTTCTTCTCTCTCTCTCCTCTCTTCTTCTTTAATCTCTCCTCATTTCTCTCTCTCTGACATTCTTTATCTCTCTCTTCTTTTTCTTGCTCTGATTCTCTCTCTCTCTCTAAAAATGATCTCTTTCTCTCTTTTCTCTTATTTTGCATCTTCTTCTCTCTCTCTCTATTTCTTTTTCTCTCTCTCTCTTCTTCTCCTTCGATGGCTTCTCTCTTCTCTCTCTATTCTCGATTTCTCTCTCTCTTCCCTCTATCTTCTTCTCTCTCTTTTATACTGATGGCTCTTCTCTTCTATACTCGATGGCTCTCTCTCTCTTCTATATTCGATGGCTCTCTCTCTTCTTCTATATCGATCTCTCTCTCTCTCCTTCTTATTCTCGATTTCTCTCTTTTTCTCCTTCTATTCTCGATGGCTCTCTCTTCCTTCTTTCTCTTCTTCTCTCTCTCCCCTTCTCTATTTCTTCTTTTTCTCTCTCTCTTCTCTCTTCTCTCATTTATCTTCTTCTCTCTCTCTTTCTCTCCTTAAATCTTTTCTTCTCTCTCTCTCTCTCTTTCTACTCGATATCTCTCTCTCTCTCCTTTATACTCGATGGCTTCATTCTCCTTCTATTCTCGATGGCTCCTCTCTTTTCTTTCTTTCGATGGCTCTCTCTGATTTCTTTCTTTCTTTTTTCTTCTCTCTCTCTCTATTCTCTCTCTTTTTCTCTCTTTCTTCTTTTTCGATTTTCTCTCTCTCTCTCTCTCTCTTTCTCTCTCTTTCTCTCTCTCTATTTATATATTTCCTGGCATCTAAATCTCTTCCTTTTCTAATCTCTTCTCTTCTCTCTCTTCTTCTTCTGATCTCTCTTTTCTTAACTTTCTTTTCTTAAATTCTCCTTCTTCTTTTTTTTCTAATTCTCTCTCTCTTTTTCTATACTCGATATCTCTCTTCTTCTTCTATTTTTTTTCTCTCTTTTTCTTATTCTCAATCATTCTCTCTCTCTCTTTTTCATTTCTTCTCTTCTTCTTTTCTCAACTCGATGGCTCTCTCTTCTTCTTTCTCTACTCATTCTTTCTCTCCTTCTCTCTTTCTTTCTCTTCTTCTTCTTCTCTCTTTTCTCTTCTCTCTCCTTCTTCTTTTTTTCTTCTTTTCAGACCTCTCTTCTATTCCTTCATCTTTCTCCTTTTATTTTTTTTTCTCTTTCTCTCCTTCTTTTCTTTCTTTCTCTCTCTCTTTTCTTCTCTTTTTTTCTTTTTTCTCTCTTCTTTTCTTTTTTTTTCTCTCTCTTCTCCTTCTATTTTCTCTCTCTCTCTTGAGATTCTTCTATCTATCTCTCTCTTTCTCTCTCGAGTTCCTTCTTCTTTCTCTTCTCTCTCTCTCTTTTTTTTATTCTCTTCTCTCTCTTTCTCTTTTTCTCTCTTTCTCCTTCTATATCTTCTTTCTATTCTCTTTCTCTCCTTCTCTCTCTTTTTCTCTCTTCTTTCTCTTCTCTTTTTTTTATTCTCTTTCTTCTTTCTCTCTCTCTTTCTCTCAACAAAATTCTCTCTCTTTCTCTCTTCTATTTCGAATTTCTCTCTCTCTCTTTTTATCTCGATTTCTCTCCTCTCTCTTCTTCTCTCTCTTCTCTCTTTCTCTCTCTCTTCTCTTCTTTTCTCTTCTCTTTTCTCTTCTCTCTCTCTCTCATTCTTTCTCTCTCTCTTTTCTTCTTTCTCTCATTTCTCTTCTTTCTCTCTCTTTCTCTTTTCTCTCTCTCAAATTTCTCTTTTTCTTCTCTCTCGATGGCTCTCTCTCTCTTTTCTCTCTCTTTTTCTTCTAATTCTCTCTCCTTCTATTTTCTCTCTCTCTCTTCTATTTCTCTCTCTCTCTCTCTCTCTTTTCTTCTCGATTTCTCTCTCTTCTCTTCTCTTTTTTCTCTCTCTCTTTTCCTTCTCTTTTTTTTCTCTCTTTCTTTCTTTCTCGATGGCTTTCTCTCTCTCCTTCTATCTCTCTCTCTCTCTCTCCCCTTCTTCCTCTTTCTTTCTCTCTCTTCTTTTTCTCAATTTCTCTCTCTCTCTCCTTTTCTTTTTTCTTTTTCTCTATCTCTCCTTATTCTGAATTCTCTCTCTCTTTCCTTTTCTTATCTCTTTTTTTCCTCTCTCTCTTCTTTATATACAATTTCTTCTCTCTCTCTCTTTCTATACGACGATGGCTCTCTTTCTTCTCCTTATCTCTCTTTTTCTCTCTCTCTCTCTCTCTTCTTATTTACTCTCTCTCTTTCTCTCTCTTTCTCTTCTCGATGGCTCTCTAAATCTCTCCTTGATATCTCTTTATTTCTTCTCTCTCCTCTCTTAAATAGGATTTCTCTCTCTCTCTCTCTTTTCTCTTTTTCTATTCTCTCTCTCTCCTTATATTCTTTTTGGCTCTCTCTCTCTTCTTTCTCTGATGGCTCTCTCTTCTTGATTCTCTATCTCTTTATTTCTCTCTCTCTCTCTTTTTTTCTTTTCTTCTCTTTTTCCTCTCCTTCTCACTCTGATGGCTCTCTTTTTTTTTCACTGATAACTCTTCAATCTTTTCTTTCTCGACAAAATCTCTCTCTTTCTTCATCTCTTCTCTCTTCTTCATCTCTCTTCTTCTTTTTCTTCTCTCTCTTCTTCTCTCTCTCTCTCTTAATTTCTTCTCTCTATTTTCTCTCTTTTATCTCTTCTCTTCTTTCTTCTCTCTCCTTCTATGTTCCATTCTCTCTCTCTCTTCTTCTCTATCGATTTTTTCTCTCTCTCTCTTTTCTCTCTCTCCTTCTCTTTCTCCTTCTTTGTTTAAGATCTCTCTCTCTCTTTTTCATCTCGATGGCTCTCTCTCTCTTTTCTATTCTTTTCTCTCTCTTCTTCTCCTTCTCTCTGATTTCTCTCTTTTCTCTCTTTCTTTCTTGGTCTCTCTCTTCTCTCTCCTCTCTTGAATTATTTCTTTCATCTCCTTCTATATTCTCTCTCTCTCCTCTTTCTCTCTCTCTCTCTCTCTCTCTCTCCTTTTTTCTCTCTCTGGCTCTCTCTCTCTCTCTTCTATCTTGATGTCTCTCTCTCTCTATTTTCTGATTCTCTCTCTCTCTCTCTCTTTGATTTCTTTCTTTCTTCTCTCTCTCTCTCTCTTTCTCTTTTACTTCTCTCTCTCTCTCTTTTCTTTATTTATTCTCTCTCTCTCTCCTTCTCTCTTCTATCTCTTCTCTCTCTCTCTCTATTTCTGGATTCTCTCTTCTTTCTATTTCTATTTCTATCTCTTCTTTTTTTTCTATCTCTCTCTTTTTCTTCTCTCTTCTCTTCTCTCTCTCTCTTTTCTATTCTCTCTGATTCTTTCTCTCTCTTTTTTCTCTCTCTCCTTCTCTCTCTCTCTCTCTCTTTCATCTCTTTCTCTCTTCTCTCTCCTTTTATTTTTGATCTCCTCTCTCTCTCTCTTCTCTCTCTCTCTCTCTCTCTTTTCTCTCTCTTTCTCTCTCTCCTTCTCGATCTCTCTCTCTCTCTCTTCTCTCTCTCTTTTCTCTCTCTCTCTCTTCTTTCTCTCTCTCTCTCTCTCTCTCTTTCTTCTCTCTCTCTCTCTCTCTCTCTTCTCTCTCGATCTCTCTCTCTCTTCTCTCTCTCTTTTCTCTCTCTCTCTTCTCCTTCTCTCTCTCTCTCTCTCTTCTCTCTCTTTCTCTCTCTCCTTGATCTCTCTCTCTCTCTCCTTCTATCTCGATCTCTCTCTCTCTCCTTCTCTCTCTCTTTCTCTCTCTCTCTCCTCTCTATACTCGATCTCTCTCTCTCTCTCTCTCTCTCTCTTCTCTCTCTCTCTAAAATATCTCGATCTCTCTCTCTCTCTCCTTCTCTATCTCTCGATCTCTCTCTCTCTCTCCTTCTATCTTTCTCGATCTCTCTCTCTCTCTCCTTCTCTTCTCGATTCCTCTCTCTCTCTCCTTCTCTTCTGATCTCTCTCTCTCTCCTTCAATAATGAAAAATCTCCTTTTCTTCTCTCTCTCCTTTTCTTTTCTCTCTCTTTCTTCTCTCTTTCTTTTTTTATTCTTCTCTTTTCTTGCTCTCTTTGAATTTTCCCACTTGCCGACCTTCTCACCCTCCCTGACCATTTAGATATTTGCAGATACTCTTTTATATATATATATATATATATATATATATAGAGAGAGAGAGAGAGAGAAAGAGAGAGAGATCCCCTGTTGGTTTGAATTTATCATGTGTCGCCATTTGTTCATTTTTCGTGTATTACCATAAAGTAGGTATATCCCTCGATACAATTTTCTCTTTTTTTGCAGCACTAAATACATAAACAGCCGATGTCTTTAAAATTACTTACTACCCTTTAATTTATTCATCTCTTTGTATACACCAATCATTTCAAAATAGTTTTCTTCATCTAATATTTCAACATGATGAAATGTTAATTGTAAAACAGAAGAAATGAACAAGTTGTGTATTCGTTGCTACGCCGATTATTCTCTTTGAGATTGTCAGCTGTATACCGCATATGCAACAGAAAACGTAATTTCCTCATCATTATTAACCTCGTTCAATTATACAGCCACGGATAGTTATAAGAAAGTAAATGTTCTATACATTATAATGAGATGTATTGACAGCCATTTTTAAAACTAGCCGGGATGTCTTCGCTATTATGTATCATGATATCGCATAGGACACAGACACTTACATAATAGAGAAAGGATATATTTCAGAGGCTGTGATACACTTGTTTAGTAAAAATTCTTTGTTCATTTATGGTGACGAACCATTTAAAATTAGTAACTTATTCCGAGTTCGAATTCCACTCGAATCCATTACATTCACTTACGTAGTAATATCATTGGGAAAGGTATGAATCCTTCTCTCCCCCCTCAGCTATGGGTAAATAGCAGGACATACCGGGTTCTATAGGCTTGTATAGCAACTGGTCTACCGCAGAAAGAAATGGCAACGTACTTCTGGAGAAAATCTGCCTCGTTAGTCATGTATCGAAAGATACATGTTCGCCTAATCACGTATCACGCATGGCACTTAACCGACATGGTTTTATATATAACGAGGTATTTGCTTGACTGTATATATATATATTATATATATATATTATTTAGACGAAGTAAGGGTTCTGGATGAGATCTTTTTACAATGTAAATTAGGCCATATATATATATATATATATATATATATATATATATATATATATTTTATACTTCCAAAATGTTGAAAGATAATGATTTTTGGGTAGACCCAAAGTTAAAGGATGATATCCAGAGGCACAATGTAAATTTCAGAACAGATATGTTTGAATACAAACAAACCACTTAATGGTTCCATGTAATGTTATTTTATTTCAGAAAGGTTTTTAACAGGATTTTGGATCCATTTGGGCATCGTCCGTTAAAACAATACCATGATTCTCTGGAGTCTTTGGGTGTCTGTTTCTTTGAGGACAAAAAGTTCATGAGGATACGGAAGAGACAAGTTTGAATTGGAAAATAAGATCTTATGTTTATTACGAATATTTTAGAGTGATCCCTGGTGCTGGCAACGTTAAGTTTCCATTCATCTCACAATAAGTCCTCAGATTCAACACAGATTCCTACATTAAGTACGGTGTGTAGAATAGTGTTACCCTGGGTCAAGAAGTGGTTAATGGAAGAATCTATGTCTGGTAACACGACTGTGCACCATGCCACACAAACAGGAGAACCCAGTTACTGCTGTGTAACTATTTCTGCGACCACATCAGCACTTACATTGTCGCCATGTGTTCACCTCGCTCTGGTCACCTTTCTCCCCACACTGCAACCGGCCCTGATTATTATGTGCGGGGCGCAGTTGAGCGAGAGTCCAACAAAACACCAAAGATGAACTGAAGGTAAGGATTATGGCAGCATTCGCCAACTGAAACAAGGAAACAGGCCAGAAGACTTTCTGGAGAAAACCGAAATCATCTGGAAGCCAATGTCGATTTTATTGGATAGATTACTGTTTAGTATTTTAAGATATTTTTGTGTAATTTCGGCAAATATATCAGTTAAAATGAGATATCGGTGTTCTTTTCACGTTTGCCTGATTTAAAGAGAGACCAACAAGACACCAAAGATGAACTGAAGGCAGGGATTATGACGGCAATCGCCAGCAAACAAGGACACCGTCCAGAAAAGATACGGGAGAAACCGAAATCGTCTGGAGGCCGTGGTTGAAGCCAATGTCGATTTTAGAGAATAAATTTACTCTTTCGTATTTCAAGATATGTTTGTGTAATTTTGGTAAATATATCTGTTAAAATGATTTTTATTTTTGCATAATTCAGACAAGATGATTTCCTAAAATATTTGCTAGAATATTTAGAGCCGTCGACATAAACACCTGGAATTTTATTTGTATTTCTTGATATTAAATGTTCATCTTTATTCAAGAGCGTAATTTCGACATCGATTAATAACTTAGAAGTTTTTTATCGTCCCTAAGAATATGTTTATATACAGTTGTTTTTTTTTTTATATATTACTTGTGTAATATGAAATATGTTTACCCAATATTTGACATCTCGTGTTTTCTCGAAGATACTTTTGTGTTAATAGTGTTTTTACTTGGAATGAAACTGGGTGAATTATGTCTGAATAACCATGAGGAAACAATCGTCCTGACATCTTGTTACATGAGGGTGTTAACTGCCAATACAAAATTGACATTTCCAATCTTAGGCGGGCGTGAGGACTTAGCTTAGAGACAGAACGTAGCGCAAATATCTTTGTGATGTTTTGGTCATTTTCCCGTGATACAAAGTAGTAAATAGTAAAAATACGATGAATATACAAAGAATTACATGGAGTAATATATTTTTCCAATTTATATTGTTGATGGATCAGACAGACACACACACACATATGTATACACACATATATATATATATATATATATATATATATAATAGCATATACAGATTCCAATCCCTGTAACCCCTTATGGCTGTAGGGACACCAGATGTATTGTAACCGGCGTGTTGTCCCTTGGGCAATTTGACGGAACCCGACTGACACCAGGCTTGTTTCAATTCAAAATCGCTATCCAATGCTATGGTGGAAATAAGATGGACTAGAAATTTACCATTTGTGCGTAATTGAATGTAACGAACTAGACTGGAATTCGAACTCGGCTCTCCGATTTCTCATTTAGAGAATGAACCGTTACATCATCGCTTATCTACATACTATATGCAGATGGAAAATTAGCAACGAGGGATTTTTTCACGATTACTGTCGACACGTTAATCGAACATGACTAATTCTAACAAATTAATTTTCGTAATGCATGCAAATAGTTTGTTCAGATTATGGGATGGGGGAACACCTAACCGATTGCTCTCCCAGCAAATACGGGGTAATAGGCGGAGAGTGGGAATAGACGGGAGCTAGCAAAAATAACACTGCCTTGGAAACCACAGCTAATTGAGGAAGAAAAATACCCACTGGTCCGAATTCACGTGACACCGCTTCTTGCGTCTTGCCTCTTGCTGTTTTTCCTCCAACAAAAATTGACATACGCCATCTTAGAGAAGACCAGGATCTTGACCAGTGGAAAAAAGGCCCGCTTCTAGATATGTCACACTGCACTCTGAAAATAGAGAACAAACCGGATGTAACTGGTTTTGACAAAATATGTCCGCATGCGCTCCGAGACCTCTTTTGCGTTAGTACTGAAGCACGTTCGCCATGTTAACAACACTCCAGCACGAACGTTTTACACAGTTCAGTTAAGGAGACATAACATAGTAATCTTGCATGATTAAAAGTATATACCAAATGGACATGTGATAATATAGGATATTTCGTTATTTTCCTCTCTTCTTTTTGTTATGAATATGACCAGAAAATACCAGATTCTTCAAACCCACTTCTGGATGTGTCCCTGGCATTTCCAATGTCTCAGATTCTAAGTAACAGTGATTATTTTTCCGTTAGACTTGCATATATGTTTCATTAATAGTATTCTCAGCATTCCTCGAGAGAATTACATCGATACATTAGCACTATAAATACGCAAAGCACACAGACACGCAT